CTGTTGAATATTTTTTCAATGTTTTGTCACCAAAATTGAGTACTATGCCATGCCTGGCTCCTGGTAGCATCCAAATAGATATTCATTACTGAAATATTTAATGAATAAGGGAAGGAATGATCCCCTACTTGGAGAGCCTTCTAATATGTGAGTCTGGAGTTGTAGCTCAGTGGTAGACTATTATGTACAAGGTCCATCATTTGACCCCAAAATCAATAAATGAATATGTAAATGAATCAAATTTACAGAAATTTTAAGAACTGAGGTATGAGTCATTTCCAGCACATGAAAATGTATGTAAGAATATTTATGGAGAGGATGGAAAGATGGCTCAGCAGTTAAGAGCACTGCCTGCTCTGCAAGAGGACCCAGGTTCAATTCCCAACACCCACATGGCAGCTCACAGCTATCTGTAACTCCAGTTCGAGGGGATCCGACACCCTCACACAGACAAATGTGTACTTAAAATAAAAATTAAATTAAAATATCTTTTCAAAAAAAAGAATATTTGTAGTTCAATAGTTGAGAGCACCTGCTGCTCTTCCAGAGGATCTGAGTTCAGTTCTTGGTACCCATGTCAGGCTGCTCTAGTTGTCTGTAACTCCACCTTCAGGGGATCCTATACCTTCTTCGGCTTTGGGGGGCATTTGCACCTACATGGTGTACACTCACACAGACACATAAAATCATCTTATAATTCTCTTATTTAAAAAAGAATATTTTAAATAAAACTGTACCTCAGTGGTTATGCAGAGGAGTTAATCTTTTTGTGACCTGTGTGCTTATCAAATTCTACTTGTTTTTCCTCATTTTATATCTTCCTCTCTGGTCTTTGCTCCATTAGGGATGTATGAAGAAAGTGCTTGTTTGAGCTTGCAACTAGGTTCCTATTTCATCAGCGGGCATGTCTTTCAAGCAATCTACCTCAGTAAGAAATGTGGTGATGTTTTATTTGTGCTCTAACAAATAACACTTAATCTGGGGATCAGAGGACAGAGGCAGCCACTGGGTTAGACATAGAGGCCAGACAGTGGTGGCACACAAGCCTTTAATCCTGTCACTGGCGGGGGCGGGGCGGGGAGCAGCAGAGATCTATGTGGATCTCTGTGAGTTCAAGGCTACACCAGGCAGTGGTGGCACATGCCTTTAACCCCAGGATTTGAGATCTCATGTCTTTGCTTGGTAAGGACACACGCCTTTAATCCCAGGAAGTGATGGCAGGAAGCAGAAAGGTATATAAGGCATGAGGACCAGGAACTAGAGGCTTTTGAGCAGTTCAACTGAGACCCACAGGGGTGAGGACTCAGAGGCTTTCAGTCTGAGGATTCGTGGAAACAGGATTGGCTGAGGAGTTGTCGAAGTGAGGTTGGCTGTGGCTTATTCTGTTTCTCTGATATTTCAGTTTTCACCCAGGTTTTTTATTAATAAGACCATTTAACAATCCGTCTTACAAAGAAATGTCTCATTGGCTTCCAATGAAATCTCTGGCTCCAGAAGCAGGCAGACTTCCTCACCTGACACAATGTCCAGACACACACACACACACACACACACACACACACACACACACACACACACACACACACACACACACACACACACACACGAGGGCAAGGAAAGGAAGTGCTGTGGGTTCCCTGTCGTCACGTGTAAACTTCTGGAGACCACAGACCTGCTTCCACAGCCCTTGACACACTCACTGAGCATCAGAAGTCCTGTGTTCCTGAGACCAGAGGTAACTGCCTTTCACTCCTGTCCAACACCTAGAGACTCACTGACGAAGAAAGGCACATGCATGGGGTCAGCAGAGGGCAGGTTTAACTTTGAACCAGGTCTTCAAGAGCTGTTTGACCTGAAGCTGGTTGCTTGACCTCCTTCAGCCTTCATTTCTCCAAGGTTCTGACAAGACCTTCCCAGCCCACACTCCTGTGTTGGTTATGTGCTGCCCTGTAGGCGATGCAGACTTGCAGCTTAACAACCTCAACTCCTGCAGTCTTTGGCTGGTGAGAGTGTGGGGTTGACAGTCTGGAGAGGACTGGGCTGGGCAGCCGTGGTCTCAGCTAGAGTATCCTTTGTCCTCAGGAGGTGATAGGGCTCAACTCCGTGAGCTCCCTGGGTGGAAGGAGTCTTGTCTCTCATAATCCCTCAGGTTATCACAGATTTGAGCCCAAAAGCATTTGGCAGGCTTCAGAGGAGCCACAGAGTCCTACTTTAAAACTGGATCAGAGCTCCGCCCCCTGCTTTCCTGTCCCTTCACCCTTCTCCACTCTCATTAATTCTCTTTGTTCCCCAACAGTCTTGCTTCCACTCTCAGGTCATACATACATACATGCATGCATACATACATACATACATACATGCATCTATCTATATAAGATCCAAGAACCCCAAATGATAGAAAACATATTATTTGTCTTTCTGAGACTTGGTTAATTTACTTAATGTTATTATCTCCAGTTACATCATTTTCCTTCAAACAACATTACTTTCCTCTTTATGACTAAAGAAGAACCCCATTGTGTAGATACAGCACACGTTCTTCATCTGTTCCTCTGGTGCCAGATATCTAGGACAGACAGATAAATAACAATCATTGTTAATGTGCTCAACCTATAACATATTTTGATGAAATGTCCTTAAATGACAATATAATCTTCAGTAAATATATACAGTCAACTTTTAAAAATATAATTTTGTGTGTGTGTGTGTGTGTGTGTGTGTGTGTATGTGTGTGTGTGTGTGCACACATGTGCACCACAGTACAGGAGGTCACAGTACAACTTGTGAGAATCAGTTCCCTTTCCTTCATGTGGGTCCCAGGAATAGAACTCAGGTCCTCAGGCTTGATGATAAGTGCCTTTTATGTGCTAATCCATCTCATCAGCCTGACATTAAAGTAAAATAAAAGTTCAAGAGCCTGGGTGGCTCAATATGAGCTCTCAGCAGGAGACTGAGGGAGAGAATAACCTGCAAGTTATTCTGGGCTCTCTAGGAAGTTCTAAGACAGCCCAGGCTATGATGCAGGATCTTGTCTCATCTCTGTCCCTAAGACTGGCAGAATCCTTAAACTAAAAAGACTCCCATAATGGAAAATATGCTCTACTTTTGAAGTGAATCACTGCAAAATCAGATTGCAAATCCATATGGCTCTTTGGAGGCCAAGTGTGGCCTTTTTGTGCTGTGTCTGTGCTCTGTGGCCACGGTGGCTGCCTAGTCTTCTGAGGTCAGGATAGAGGTGGGGAGGGAGGTGACAGGCTTGACATTGCCCCATGCGCTCATCTTGCATGTCCTCAGGGATCCCGTCCCCACTTGTAGAGACCCCTCCAGTGAGCACAGGGCACCTTCATGCATGGTTTCAGCTACTGCACAGGTGTGGTTCTGGGTAAGAGAAAGAACGGCCATAGGTGAATACTTAGCGAAGGAGGCCACCTCAAAGGTGTAGTGACCCCTGAAAGCCATACGACTAGTACACCATTCACGCCTCCTTTCTGGGTGGAGGGAAGACAGGGTACTAAGGGCTGATAATGAAATGTATGTGAGATTTGGAGGGAGCCATGGTAGCTGGCAAGGACTGAGCAAAACCAGTGCTGGTGCAGACTGTCACCAGGCTGAGGCCCAGAGTCCAGCAGCAGGGGGCGGGCCCTTGGTTTAGTGCTAGGGAGTGAACCTAAGGTTCCACACATGCCAGGCAAGCACTCTGCCACAGTGCTATGGCCTCAGTCTTGTTTTTCACCATTTAACTGTTGAGACACAGAATTGCCAAAGCTGACTAGAACTCACTCTGCAAATCAGGCAGGCCTTGGATTTGTGATCCACTGGCTGCCGCCTCCTGGGTAGCTGGAGTTCTAGGCCTGCAGCAGCACACTCAGCTGGAGCAAGTCTTTATGCCTAAGACAAAATCCCTGGAGGATTTTAAGTGTGAGATTCATGTGTTCGCATCTGTGCTTCCAGAAGATCTCTCCAGCATCAGCATGGACTGGATTAGGAATGCAGACTGAACTCAAGTCCAGAACTCTTCTAAATCCACTTGGTGTCTCTCCATAAGTCCCAAACACAAAAAGAAATGATCTAGTTTACTGAGGCTGAATACCAGGCAAGGGTAGATGAGGGGTAAACAGGCTATTGAAATATTGAGTCATACACACACACCACATACATAAATGCATGTACCTCACACTCCCCCACACCACATATGCACAGGCACATGCATATGCACCACACACACACACACACACACACACATATATATATATATGTATACACATACATACATACATACATACCTCACATATAACATACATGCACATACATGCAATGGCACACATACATGAACATAAACACATATACATGCACATATACTACACACATGCAGAAGCATATCTCTCTCTCTCTCTCTCTCTCTCTCACACACACACACACACACACACACACACACACACACACACACACACACACGTTTCTTGTCCACATATTTCAGATACATGCAGATTAGAAAGCTTCTGGCTTGTGCCCTGGAGACCAGTCAGCCAGATTAATGTCATATCAGAGGGAGACATTGTTCATATACTATGCTGTCCACAGAGACAAATAGCTATGGTCCTATGACATAAGACCTGGTCATGAGAGAAAGACAGTATTACATACACAGCCTTGGCACCCAGGAGTTCAAACTCATTTCCAACTACGCAAACTCAAAAAGATCAAAGATCAAAAACCAGGCATCCTGGGACTTGAGACAGCACATTGGTGGGACCTAGAGGAACAAGGGTGAGAAGAAGGAGGAGGGCAGCTGGAGCTGCTGTCTGCTTGTTGGCATATGGGCTTGGGTGGACCACTGAGTCCCGTTTCAGCTAGCCGCTGGCCTTGGACCACCCACGCTGGCCGGGCAGAGCCTCCCGGGCTAAGGCATCCATGGGTCAGGACAGGGCAGAGGTGGCTGCACCCGCCACGGGGGTCACAGGACTGATCATGAGAGCGCTTGTCCTGTCATTGCATTGCAGCTCCAGAAACTAAAACGGTCACTTTCTTTCAAGACCAAGAGCTTGCGGAGCAAAAGCGCTGACGACTTCTTCCCGAGAACCAACAGTGATGTGAAATTGCAAGCTGACCTGCTGGCCAAGGCCAGCCCGGGCCCCAGCCCGGGCCCCAGCCCAATACCCATCCCTGGAAGCCCTGCATCCATGCCCACCAGGGCTGGCCTGCACCCCGGCAGCAGCAACAAGGCCCACACCTTTCAGGAGCATGTCTTTAAGAAGCCCACCTTCTGTGATGTCTGCAACCACATGATCGTGGGTAAGACCCCCTTACAGCTGTAACGCCCCTGGGAAGCTGAGTGAGAGCTG